CACACACACACACACACACATGCGCGCGCACACACATGCACACACACAATGTTCAGTAAATGATGATTATCAGTATTTGCTTAGGATCAGGCTTGTGACACGTCTGATGGATTCATTTCTGTGGATGGTTGGAGGGTGCCACTGGATATTGTTCCTGCCTGTCTTGAAATTTTTTCCTGCACAAAATTACTGTTTCATCATCAATGGGTGTGTTGAAGTGCCATTACTATCTTGTCACTGGGCTTCAGAGTGGCCCGATGAACCATTGGACAATATGTTTGTGCGCTTCATACCGAGCACACACTGCCAATCGAATTCTTCTCATTCTGTCATTGTCATTCAGATTTTTCTACATGACATGGATGGGGTAAAATTTATTTTTTAAAATGCAATTTTGACATAGTTTGAATGAATTCAACTAAATGGGACTGTGGCCTTCTAAACCATACATGTTTGTTTTTCAAGGTCACGAATCAAATTGGTTCTGTTGTGCTAAAGTGGTAGCTTTTTTACCATACACGAAGGAAAATCAGGCTGGCATCAACTGAATCAAATGGCAGTGTGTGTGCACTGATGTTCTGATGATTAGATATTGAAGCAGCGATTTCTGGTATGTCAATCTATGACTCCCACCTCCGTGGTTGGTGCGTATTGAAGTGCTTTTACTGTCTGTGTCAGTGAGCTTCAGGGTAGTCTGAGTGGGTTGTTGGTGGGTGCTCTTGTGTGGTTTGCTCCTTCTTTCCAATCAAACGTCTATTGTCCATATATCTCTCCTCCTACTTCTTTTATTGGTATGTTACTATCCAGAGGGTTCGGTGACCGAGCGGTTAGTGCGGTCGTCTCCGAAGCGGTAAGTCCGGGTTCGAGCCTCGGTTCGTACACAGGTTTTTTTCATCCTCTCCTGCCCACTCAGCAGTAATTGGTACCTGGCTTCCAGTTGGGGAAGTAAAGACAGCGTGGAAAGGAACTGGCCACCCTACCACAATATGCCGAAGGCCCAGGAAGTTGTCTCACTAACAAGGCAATCCCCAATGTCCGGATTGGATGGGGGAACAACTTCACTTTTTTTTTTTTTATTACTATCTAGTACTATCTCTAATCTTCAGCACTTATATAATCTAATGAACCTAATTGTGCTGCCAGTGCTGTTAAACACACTAAAGCAAACTTCCATGAAACCTAATTGTGTTGCGAGTGTTGTTACACTCAAGATGATCAAATCATAAAGCAAAACTTATATGTTCTTCCTGTGTTCATCAACAGGGAGGGCCTAAGGGCTGACATCCTGCTGTCTGAGATCGCCTCTGTACAGAGCATCTACAAGCAGCTGGAGGAGGGTGTGGAGAAGAACAGCCGGCTACACCAGGTCTTGCTTACCTCAATCAGGGGAGACAACAGACAATGTGAGTCTTGTGATCTCTCTCTCTCTCTCTCTCTCTCTCTCTCTCTCTCTCTCTCTCTCTCTCTCTCTCTCTGTCTCTCTCTCTGTCTCTCTCTCTGTCTCTCTCTCTGTCTCTCTCTCTCTCTGTCTCTCTCTCTCTCTGTCTCTCTCTCTCTGTCTCTCTGTCTCTCTCTCTCTCTCTCTCTCTCTGTCTCTCTGTCTCTCTGTCTCTCTCTCTCTCCTCCTCCTCTCCTCACCTATTATTCTCTTACTCCTTTCCCTTCTTTCTCTGTGCCTATCCTTTCCTCTCCCTGCTCCTTCAGTTTCCCCCTTGCATTTTTCTCTTCATTATAATGACACTGTTAAAGAGGACCAACTGCTTAATTAAGATGGCCACTTTTCTTCTAGGCAATGGATGGCAGTCTTTGACAATTTTGACTCTACAGTGGAACCTGTTTCAAGGACCACATGTCCAAGACTAATCACCTTCACAAACAAACCCTTGTGTTAAAAAATTCTTTAATAGTGACTCTGTTTGAGAGGACCACCTGTCTAAGATGACCTTTTATTCTCAACAATGGGTGACCAGTAGGAACAGGTTCTACTGTTATCGTGTAGACTTGCCATTGTGTGCAATTCAAAAGTCTCCTCTTATTTTCCTCCCCCAGCGGACAGCCCAGACAGCAACAGTTGCCAAGACGGAGGCTACAACCTGGTGTCACCCACACAACGACAACAGCAACAGCAGCAACAACAACAGCAACAACAACAGCAACAACAGCAACAACAGCACCCCGTGACGGAAGTGCTCACCTGTGACGCAGACTCCACATCACTACATCTGAACAACCTGGGCCTCGACGTTGGAGTGCCTGGAGGGGGAGCAGAAACGAGACTTCAGCTCGTTGAGGGAAAGACGGGAGTCGGGGCGGATGTGAGTGGTTCATCATCGCTATCACCATCATCATTATTGGCCAGGGGGTCAAAACGCTCACCCACGACTCTGGTGCCTTCTGGTGCTGGCTCCACGTCTGTTGAGGCGGGCACTGACGTGACTGACCGCTCCTTGCAGGCGGGTTCAGCTCTCTCTCAGGTCAGTGTGGGACATTTTTTTTCTCCCAGCTCAGTAGGTATCATGCTTTTCAGTGATCATAATTTTCCGCGGATCCCCGGAAGTCCTGGATTTTCAGTCTTTTCAACTTATCCCCTCCGAGTTCTTCCTTTCCATGAGTCATGTGGTTCGAGCAAATTATCCTCCGTTTATGCCTAGTGATTGGCCCCGCGCAATCCGCTGGTTCCGTCATCGCAGAACTGCTAAAGACTGCAATGTTAGTGTGGGGTCTATTTTAGCTCGATTAATGTCATTTCACCTACCCTCATGAAAGCATTCATCATGAAGGAACTGACAAAATTGGACGTTCTCAGAATGAAAGAAATTGATTTGAAAGTCAAAAACAAATTTAGATTTGTGTGGTTAGAGTAAAGTTTGACCATAGAATCAAAGAAAGGTGACAAGGTTACTATTTGTGTTGGTGATTCTATTGGTGAAGTAGAAGTTCCTTTAATAACCTCCTCATCCAAGCCCATTGAGCTGTTTTCCCTCTCCTCAAAGATGTTAATTATTAATTCCAAGATTTCTTTTGAAACTGAAATTGATGTTAATAATTTTTATGAGTGTGGTAGGGTCTTGTGATTTTATTTCACGGTTTGGTGCTTCTGTTGGTGTATTTTCCTCCTTTTTGACTTTTGCTCGTTATGATCTCTGGCTTTTAGATAACCCAACATGACATTCGGAAACATTGATAGTTTATAAAAGTTTCTGTAATTCCTTTACCTTTTGAAAAGCATTTGTAGTGTTATGGTTACATTCTTTCCAGCCGTGGGAGGCAAAAAACCCAGAAACATGATTTTAGTGTCTGCTTGGGGAAGTCTTGATGTTATCCTGTATATCTGTTTGTCTCCTGGGTATCGCATCCTTCTTATCCAAGGGTTAGCTTTAACAGGCAGGGTATAAGTTTCCTGACTCCAGAATAGTCTAAATTTTGACTATACAATCTTTTACGGTAGACCACCCTTCTGACTCCGTTCTGTTGGAGATGACGGTGAAATCGGGGGTCTTGCATCTTAATCTTAAACAACGTTGTTTTTAAAGTCAAGTTAACCATCACCAGACCATACTATAGTATCCTCAAGTTGGATTGAATTTTTGCTGTAGTTCTGTTATGTTTTGCTTGAAATCGTTTTTTTGTTTATGGAAGGGTGAAAAAATGAATACTTAATTGTTCTTTGCAACGGATATCAATGACGATGATTTTTCACATGCCCATCAAATCGTGGCTTTTGGTATTTCATAAAAAGTGAGGAATTGAGTAATTTAGTAGTGTGTGCTTACAACCATAAAAAAAATAGTCTGTAAGTAGGGAAGACATTTGGTCAAGTGTCCCTATCTCTCTTCAGTGATTATCCCAAGTAATGTGGCTCGACTTATGTAGGTAGGGTTGAGGCTACCCAACTCCTACTAATTTATTTTGATTTTGTGGACGGATGCGTAAAACTGACTATCATTACAACGATTTGTAGGTGGACCAGTGGGTACAGACACCCAGATCTGCTGAACCAGCACGCTCAAGTTCTGCAAGACCCACGGCCGATCTGAGCGGCACTGAGCTGCATCGCTGGGTGGATCAACGGCAGCAGCGACTGCAGACTGACTGCCCACAGGGGATATTGAGGGAGACAAGTTCAAAATCTCTTCCCAAGATTGCTGGCTCAGGTTAGTGTGGAGATGGGGCAGTTTTCTCGGTTTTTCAAGCCATAGGGTTGTTTAGGTACCTGAATGTCCCTAACATGCAGTGCAATAGTGCTGATAGTGCTGAGAACAGAGCAAGGTTAAAAAGCAGAAAAATTAAAATAAAAGTGAGTGCTGTAACACAAACCAAACACCTCAAACAAAGCAAACAATGAAGTAACAATTCTGGCTGGGACTTATTTTTGGCCCACATTTTATTGTCTGCTCTCTCTATTGTTGTGATAAGATTGAAATCTACATTTGCTGCTATTACATTACATATTGTTAATTCATTTCAGTATTTAAATGATGTGATAGTTTCTTTTTATCACTATGACTGGAAAATGTTATTCATATTTGCCAGTATTAACTCAATGGTATATTTTCCATTTAGGATGAAAACAGTGTTATCTGAAGTGTAAGCTTTTCTAGTTTTAGTTTGAAATGAGTTGGGTTTTTTTTCTTCAAACGTAGACCATCATAAGATTGTGGTACTTTCTTGCAAATCCTATCCCTTTTTTATGTTCCTTTTTCAGAGGACAGTCTCACCGATGACTTGAAAGGAGAGAACAAGCTACACCAACGTCACGCTGAGACCACTGACGACTACTTGCACTTCCGTCGTGGCATATTCTTTGAGGACGATAACTTTGAGTCTCGTCAGCAGGATCGAGCTTCCAGCGTGAGGCCTGACTCTCACCCGCACTCTTGGTCTGCCTCTGGTTCTCTCTCCAGTGGGGATAGCAGGAGGGTAACAGATCAGGCCAGCTCGGCCCGCTTGTCTGCTGGTCATAAGTCGGACCCTGTCCTTGCTGATCAGTTTGGCAGAGACTCTACTGACGGGAATGGACATATCAGCCGTGCCTTAGGGCTTTCATCAGACAGTCCTGGTAAGGCAAATAGAGCTGCAGAATCTACGCATGAGGTCAGCAGTACTTCTTGCAGTACTCCGAGAAAATCTACATCGTACCTACTAGATTTGGGCCAGAAAGAACCGCAATTTGCAGCTCAGGTTGGTGTTGGAGAAGGGGGAGTTGACTCGGGTGGTGGTGTTGTTCAGAACTCAACAAATTCGGATTTCTGGGCGGATTTACTGCCAGCCACATCGGGGTCCTACCAGGATGTGAAGGGATCTTCTTTTGTGAATGGAACTAGTAGCTCTTTTGGGCCTACCTTAGATGGTGTGGAGAGGACAAAGTCGCGGTATCAGCGCTCACCTTGCCGAAATGGTGCCAGCAATGGCGAGAATTCTGTCGTGTCTGTGGGTGAGGGGGCTGCCACAGGGGTAGAAGAGGAGGAGGAGGAGGACTGGAGAAAGGAAAAAGGAAGAGAAGAGGAGGAGGAGGAAGAGTCACAGTTGCAGAGAGGTGCAGAAAGGGGAAGGGGCAGCCGGCGCAACAGCTGGGCGGATGAGCTCGAGCAGTACAGAGTGACCATTACTGGCCAGCACTTGGAGGAACAGGGCGCGGGTTTGGACGCTGCAGAGCAGTCCACAGCACAGGTGAGAAAATCTGTCCTTGTTCGTGTGAAAATAAGAATACGGTCTTCTGACCACTTTAGGCTCTTTTCAGGTGAAAAGATTATCTCTCACATGTCATTATATATAGAAGTTGTTGTTAGAACTGTTGTACTGGCATTAGTTGGGAAATTTTCTGGTTCATTTTCCTTCTTTCTTGGTTTTTTTCTTTGTTTCTTTTTTTGTTTTTGTTGTTCAGGTCGTTGCAATGGAAACCATAGAAAAACAGTCACCTTCTATGCTTTTTCTCATAATATCTCTGATACTGCTTATGATATCTGTGTTATCTTAGTGTAGCCTGTCCCTATTGGTGTTTGTAACACAGGCATAGTCACTTTGTTGAAAGAGCACTCTCTTAGCTCGGGTCTGGACCGTGCTGGACAACAGAACGGATGGCGCAGGTTCAAAGCTCAGACTGGGATATCTTGAACTCTGGTAGTTTTATGGAGTTTTCAAGGCTCTCGACCCATTTGGCTCTGTCCTATTAAGGAGGCACTTCACTTCAAATTCGGAGGTCTGGCCTCTTAGATAGTCTAATAGTGTTGATTTATAATATTGATGTGGGTGTTAAACCCATTCACATACCTTTTTACTTTGTTGATGAAAGATTCATTCTAACGAAAATATTTTTTGCGTTTATTACGTATGCTGCGGTAGGGACACAAAAAAGTTTTTTTTCAGCAAACCAGTTTCTCGGGCGGGTGTCAAGGGACGCAACTCTGTTTCTACAAGTTAACTGTCTGATTACCTCCTTTGTTTATCATAAGATGATGAAGTATTGACTCATAGGCGATTCTGGTCCTTGAGGAAAGATGATGAGTTTATGAGCTAATTAATTTATCAGAGACATAGATTCTGATAAAAATGTTGGATATGAATTGACCGTGCCTGCTTGAACCAAGATTAGAACCAAGTAATCGAGTATTTGAGGCAAGCGCAATTTCTTTATTCTGTCAAACCACCGGCCTAGTTTGAAAAGTTGGTTGTCACTGTTTATTGGTTTTTCTTCTTTATTGTCGCTCTGGTTTCTGTCCTTCGTACTATATTTTCCATCTCTGTTGTTTCAGTGTCTTAGATTATCTCTACTCTTCACTGTGGGCAGTAAGAAGGTGCTACTGGAAGGTCCTAGTTATTGACTTTTTTTGTCTGTCTGTCTGTCTGTCTGACTGCTATTTTATCTAAGTACATCTTCTTGCTCAAACACAAAACTCAGCTGACCCTAAGCGGTCGTTGTGATGTCATGCATGCTTGTATTTTCACCTCAGAACCTTATTTGTTTTTGTGGGCAGTAAGAAGGTGCTACTGGAAGGTCCTAGTTATTGACTTTTTTTGTCTGTCTGTCTGTCTGTCTGACTGCTATTTTATCTAAGTACATCTTCTTGCTCAAACACAAAACTCAGCTGACCCTAAGCGGTCGTTGTGATGTCATGCATGCTTGTATTTTCACCTCAGAACCTTATTTGTTTTTGTTTTGTGAATGGGTTATTGGAGGGTGGTACCGGTAGATCTTACTTCTGTGTTTCCCGGTTTCTGTCCCATTTGCCTCATTCTTTTCCTGCACTCAATGATCATCACTTGTGTTGATGTGTGTAGATGGTTGGCGGGTGCTCTGTTGTGGTCTGCTCCTTCTTTCCTATCAAACAGCTATTGTCCTAATCAAGCCTCCTTCTTTTTTGTGTTTGTTACTCTCTTGTAACACCTCCAACTTCGGCACCTATAAGTATAATAATCTCTAGTGTTGTAAGTGCCGTAAAACTCTTTAACTTATTAAAACTAAACTGTGTTGATGTACGGCTCTTATGATGAATCAACAAACTTATTGCAGAAAACTGGCCTTCCCCTGGGCACCATGTCGGCGGTGGAGCTGCGGGAGCTGGTAGCTCAGCTACAGATGGACTTGGTGGAGTCGGTCAAGAACAACCACCGGCTGCGGAGAGAGCTGGATGACCAGCAGCAGCAGCAGCAGCAGCAGCAGCAACAGCAGCAGAGAAGTGGTGAACACGGACAGTTGATGCGGAAGGACAACGACTTGTTAACAAACGGGTCAACCAGGATGACAATGGACAGAGACTTGGATGGCAGGCCAGAAGCACTGGTAGTTTTCTTTGTTGTTTTCTTTGTTTTCTTTGTTTTCTTTTTTTTCCCAAATAATTTTTGTATGACATATCCAGATGAATGGAGGCTTTCACACATCTGAGCTAAGGTCACGTAAGAGGTGACTGACAACTCCATCATACTGTGGGTCTCTGATTGTAGATATTTTTTAATTTTTTTTATTGACTCAGTCAACCCTATTTAGGTATGTTTTTAGAGGTTTCTGGCATAGACACTGCCTGCTGGGATCAACCCAGGTTGTTAATGATACTGCATCCCAGGAGAAAGGCTTTAAATGCTTCCCCACGTACGAATGAGACTCACTCACGCTTTTCTGTGTAGAAGGCAAAGAGCCCATTACGCCGCAGATGCCATAGGGGTATAATGGGTGCTTGATGTTAGTAGTTCCTTTAAATTTATATTAGTTAACTCTGTCTGTACTCAGAACCAGTTAGTTTATATTCTTTGATACTGTGTTCCCATTCACACATGAAATGCAGTTAAGTCTGGTTCAAAGAGCATTAGAATCGTTTGCTTTTGCAGATATTTAACATTATTCTGCTGCTTCTTTCTTTTTTTGTGCTCTTTGTAAGGCAGAATATAGCACAGCAAATGTTCATATTTCCTCGTGCTAGCTCAGTTGTTGGATATAAAATAGCAGAAATGGCAGCAGTTGCTGATTTGGGCAAAGAAATACCATTTTTTTAATCATTGGTATGATGGTTAGTGGTGTTGTTGGTGGTTTTTGTTAATATGATCCTTAATTTCTATTCTTTTTATGTGCATTATTATTATCACCATTGTCAGTTAGTATTATTTTTATCATCGATAAAATGCCCATGGTAAGGGGCATTAGTTAATCAAATGGCTTACATTATAATTAGAACTTCATTATTATTGATGTCACTTTATTGTTAATGTCTCTCATTATTTTCCCCTCAGCCCATGGTGAACGGCTTTAGCAAATCTAATGGCGTTAACAGCAAGAAGAGTTTAATCCCTCGACTGGCAACGGGCTCAGGCAAACAGTCGTCAACCACCAGCACTGCCTCTGATGACTCTGACAGTACTGGCGGTCAGCACAGCTCTCGCCTGGACTCACACAGACTGGTATGTGCTCTCCCTCTGCGGGCCAGTTGTAATCTGCTTGTGACTGTTGTATTTAATTGAGTAATGGAAGTTGACTGTTGATTTTGTCCAGGAGGAATAAACTTTCACACACCAGCATGCACTGATACGCACACATATGCACACACAGGCATGTACACACACAGGCACACGCACATACATACACATACTCATGCACGTAAACATCACACATCACACACACACACATACACACACA